TAAAAAATAATAATAAAAATAAATTTCAAAAAATCCAAATTAAAGAGAATTTAGTTACGGATCAAATGCACAAAGAATTTTTGCAAACGGATGTTATTTAAATAAGTAGAAGCACTTTTTTATTCGTCATGTATACACACGACTCTCACACCAATCCAAACTCAGGCATTACAATCACATAACCAGTAGGAAATTGGTGGCAAATTTGAATATTAAAATTAATAAAATGAATAGAGAGAGCAAGCGTGTACGCGCATGCACAGTGTAGCGTTATGCATATTCCTATTACCGTGTCGTAAGATGTTACTATGTATACCAGTTAATACTATTATTTTATTAAAGTACATAAACAAATAATTATTGCATGTATGGCAGATCGATGCAGATAGCCAGTATTGATTACACGGGTATTAATAATATGGTATAACCTCCAAATACTACAAAATACGCCTTATCTTTAAAAGTAAGCAATATAGAGCCAAAATAACAAGTTTTACGGGTTTTCTAAAGGGAATAAGAATATTATGACGCACAAAAAACAGAGGCGTTGAGTTATGAAAAAACATAACTCCAATTTTTGATGTTTTCGATGTACCTTCATGAAACAATGTGGGAAAATCGTAGGAAAAGGTATAAGGTCGATGTCACAGTACTCGGTCATGTCCCAATAGTCAGTCATCTGGCTGATTTTTTCACTGTAAATTTTCAAAACATATATGAATCGGGTAGCTATTCAGACACTAAGCAATTAAACTCAATTAAAAATATAACGAAGGCCCATAAAAGAAAAAAAGTGACCGACTATTGGAACATTTCGTCTGCTTAAGTGAGCGAGTACTGGGACATCCACCTTATTACGTTTAGTACAGGAAAATAATAATGCAGAAACGATTTTCCATAATCATATATGCACATGACCTTCAAATATTAAAAATATGCCATATATTTTAAAGGAAGCAATATATAGGCAAAATAACAAGTTATACAGGCCCCCTAAAGTGGAAAAAAACATCGTGGCACACAAAAAGAGAGGTGTTGAGTTATGTGAAGACATAACCTCAAATATCAATATTTTTAATATTTTTCTATAAAGTCAAAGTGAAAAATTTTTGGAAAAATTATAGCATATTTGCAAAATTATTACAAATACATAGTATATGTTTCTCGTTTTTTACCCAACAATAACCTTAAAACTTATTTTAAAAAGGTCCCCAGCCTTTCAAACATGACAAATATGTACAGGGAAGACATAATTTTACTGCCGTAGCCTAAGAAAAAAAAAATATATTGAACTCACATGTATTTATGAACCGCGTATTTTACAGTATACATGTAATTTCTACATACATGTCCCAAACTCTGGTTATTATAAAAGTTAGCCTCACGGTCAAATGAAATTGGTTCATTAAAACGTTAATCCATCTTATGAGAAAGTTTATTCAAATTGATAGAAAAATGAGGGATGAGATTTCACTTAACTTTATGGTCATTCCATTTTTCAGAGTTAAATATCACAAAACCTTTCAGTGAGGAAATTCCAAAAAGTTTTCATAACACGACAGCTAGAGCTATGGTACCGTTGAACTCTTGATCCGTGCACGTAATAAACGAGTTCTTTCCCTCAACAAGTTGGCGTCGCGCTCGACACATAAAAAATCGAAAGACGCGCCGACAGCACGTGTCCCGCAAGCTCGCCAAGTTCCAGAGCACACACAAGTGTTTGTTTTAGCTTTCAATTATATGCATCCCACAATAGACAGAGAGAGGGAGGGAGGGAGAGTGAAAGCTCGCCAACCATGCAAGAAGGCGCCGCGGTGGCGGCTACGACGAAGCTTTGAGTTGCAAGCTGCATCGGCGACGGTGGGGAGCTTTTTAGTCGGCTGCTGAAGCTCGCGCGCAACGCGTCCGCACCAGCGCCTCTGCCCTGCGTATTGCATGCTCGAAGTACGTTGAATGCGTTCGGGGGTGTTTATCAGTGTCTATGTGTCCGTGTTCATGTGTGTCAGACCGTACGCTCAACTACTGATCACGTGCTTTCATCGCGCAAATAGTGTCCAAAGCTTTGGTGAACTACAGGGGTGCATGTTGTTATTTCTTCACATGTGACCTTATAGTGGTAAGTCCAGCTAGAAGTGGTTTCTAATGTATACTTAGGTCACTGCTGATTTTGTGAAAAATTTTTCTTGATTGTCATGAGTGGGTTCAAATTTTTTCCCGCGATTTGTGCGCTCTTATGCAACGTTTTAATTGGTCGCTTCGATAACGACTACTAAGGTGAATGATCCTGCGGTATGAGAGAAACACGAGTGATTTGAAGATTGGTGCAGAAGATGTATTATGGGTGATTGCCGAATTTCCGTAGGGATCCGTATTCTTGAGATGCAGTAAAGAGGGTTTATAAAACTATCTTCCGGTATGTATACCCGAGATGAATTGCATTTATCGTGGTGGAATTAAGTCTATCCAGAATGTTGCGAGCATAATGATGAAGAGAACGACATAATTTAATATTTTACCAATACGATATGAAAATTTACAATTAGTTGCTATTCTTGATTAATAGTTTTTTTTGAAGTTTTGCTTTTATTTTTCAGTACTTTAGCTTGGCAGTATAAGTTAAATAATACATCATATTTGGTTGAGATTACTGAATGTAAAAATTTTTGTTTAAGAATCGAACCTAAGAGTTATTTATTAAATTTAAAGAGGTATTAAGTAGAGTAGGTAACTAACGTTTATTTATTAATTGTTGTTTTGATAAATAAATAAAACACTTTATAAACACCAATAAATTTGTAGAATTGTGTTTTTTTTGCACTTAACAACGACAATATCATAACAATAAGGTCAAATATTTACTCACAAAACTATATAGTAATTTAAAAGGTTATTAAAATCCAAAATTTGGCATTAGAAACATATTTATTGTAATATATTTTTCTTTTAATAAGTGAGATCCAATAATTTTGATGTCAGTTATTTAATTGAAATCGTTACAAGCGTAAGTCATATACTACGATTGAAATACTTGAAAGTTACAAGTTTAAATGATATGATTTGTGTCATTTTTCTTAAGCAGTAAATTCTCCATCAGAATTTAAAAAAATAAACAGTTGAATCAAGTAGGTATTAACAAGCGACACAATAAGCAACAGATGATAAATATTTAGAAGTACCGAACAGATTGGCGCTCTAGAACCCAAGGAAACCAGCTTTTTTTAAATTATTTGTGTTCATGTAAGAAAGTAGCCTATAATATGTGCTGCAGCTAAGAATGGTACAACGTTTATTTACTAAATTTTGTCTCAGTTATTTCTTAACTTTCTGATCAAAACTTTTGTACATACGGTTTTGAAAAAAAAAATTAATAATGTAGTATTCGAAAATTTTGGATTCCTTGAAATTTTTTAACAGACTTTTATCGGTCAAAAATAACTTTTAGGGTTGAAATGTTGTAACTATCACGTTTTATGAATTTAGTGAAAAAATGAAAAAACATTCGGAAATTCATACTTACAAGTAAATTATTATTTATCTAATTATTCAAGCATTATAAAATGTTATAAGATGATGTAAAAGTATAACGGTGGCATGAAGAAATAAAGGGACGACAATTAAGCTGGAAATCACGTAATTTAAATCACAGCAAGTAGGCAATGCTTATAACAACATATCTTACAATCGTGATGCAATAATATCTGGAATCATGTTTTAAAGATGCGAGGCATCACATAGCAAACCGTTATAGACAATCACAAACAAAGGCTCAAATATACAAGTCGTATCGTTTATTTTACAGCCAAAATTTCATTTAGTATAAAAAACGTAGTTGAATCCTAAGAGATCTGGAAAAGAAACTTATAAATTGGAAAATATAATTATACTTCAACAACACTTTTGTGCAAAAATGTATGAACAACGTGATGCGTGCTATGCGGCATATTAACACAAAGTTACACTTATCTGTAGGATAACTATTTGGCTGAATTAGTGCTTATATTTTGATTCTCTCGTTGCGTTCCAAGTCCCGATAGCCACTCTACGTTACACTCACGAACTGTTGGGGGGCGTGTGTGCAGCCTCGTAAACTTGGCAAAGGTACTCCCAGGCCGCGCGAATACGTGCCAGTTATACTTAATTAAATCGTGCACTATTGAGGTGCAATATCAGTACGAGAGTCAACATTTTCACGAGAACCTCTAATCATGTTAGCCTCTTATATAGGCTGGCTTGATCACCGAATTGCAAAAGTGGAGTCAGATACTCATACTCTGGCTTGCCACTTAGCAAACGACTAAAAGACATCATGATTTGACCGCTCATAATCGTTACAACCATGTCGTGAGGCATACACTCACATCTGCATCGTGAAATATGACTGTACCAATTCAGTATAAATGCTTAATTAATATATTCATCCGTATTTATTTATGTTTTATTTATATTATTCAAAGTGGCCCATCACAAAATCAAAATGCTTTGAGTATGAATGAAACTTGCAGGAATCACACTTGAATATAAACTGAATCATCACACAAAATTTCAAACCATGTTGAAAGGCCATTATTACAAAACGAACTACTTAAAAATTTATGTTTAACGTGGTCTCTCATAGGAGGCGATTCAATCATGACAAAATTTGATACAATATGTTCCAAATTATACTTTAACTCTCATTATAAAACTAGGTACTGAAAAAAGAAATTATGAGCTTTTCAATGGCGTTAAGAAAACGTTGATTCACCGAGTAATATTTTGTAATGTGTTATCAGTTAGGTGATCACCTGATACTTTTCGATAAGATAGTCAAATGTCACTTAAATAGGTCGTACAGGTGTGATGAACCACCATAATTTTGACAGGATTAAATTAACATTATTATCAATCTTGGTTGATTGCGAAAAAATATTCGTTACACATACTTGAGGCTCTAATGGTTTTGGTATATGTTATCTTGTGGATTATTTAACTCAGATGATGCAGTTTATTCCCCGTAGACAAAAAAACTACGATTTCAATGAATGTTTTTTAAAAATATGGACAAAGTTTTTGTCCAAATTAGAAGTTGGGTTTATATATTTACCTTTGAATTTATGAAATAATGCAAATTTTAAAAAGTTTTTTGCTCACAACTCTGCTTCTAATACCTCTAGAAATAGAGGTATTAAAGCTAATACGCTACTGTATGAATTAGTTCTTTTTTGTTTAATAAAGTTAATTTTTTATTTGCAAGGTAGCTTTTCGTCAAACTCTACAAAGATCATACATGCCGAGGAGTTTACTGAACATGGAATATCTTTCAAAGACGAGACCTTATTTTGTGAGCAATACAAAAGCAAGCTTTAGTTAAAAAGTTGAAGGAGGTAAATAGCACAATAAATAAATATTTTTATCACATGTGTTATTGACACATTCTTCTAAATTTTGTCAACAACTTTCTGAAATATCTTTTTTTATAATTTTCTCAAAACTACGGTTAGTGTAAGGAGATAATTGCAATTTTGTTATGGTTACCTGCATTTATAATTATTGATTTAATTATCAAAACTTTTTAATACTTTTACATTTTGACAGCTCACAAAATTTCATTGTTTTTACATATTTCATTATTTTTGCAATTTTCATAATGGCTAGCTAAGTGAACTTAATAAGATTACCATATGTATTTAGTGTTTATAAGTGTAATGTAATATTTTTTAAATTAAAAAGAAGTTGGAAGAAGATTGAAAAATAATCCTTGTTTCTTACTGCAAACGTTAAAACATATTAATATCATTTGAAGGAGTTTGACTAGCAATCGATAATTATGTAAAACAATCACGTTTATTAGGTACATGTGAAAAAAGTTATTAATGAAAAGTCAGGAGTGTAAATTCAACTTAATATTTAATTATGGGACATGTGCATACTTTTGTAACCTAAAAAAGGTAAAAAGTCGGTCCTGTCTCTCGTACTTTTCATTCATTTATTGAATAGTGCAATTAATAAGCTTTCTTTAACTCACTTTAATTCTCAATGGATAATAAATAATGTACAGAAAAAATCAAGAATCATAACATGGATTAAATCAAGTTACACGAAATAACGGCGTGGCATCTGCATCGTTCAAACTGATATTCTATGGTGCTGCACCTTGTGATAACATCGTTTCGAATAGACTTACTAGAGAATTTTTGGTTTTCGAGAACATGTTTTGATTTAATTCATACACATTAATATCTAATGTTGGTTTATCTTTTGCAGCAGCCATGATGAAATTTAAATATGATGACACTTTGGTGAAGTGTAACGTTAAGCCTCTCTGATTATACGTATGAGCCGTGCTTACGATCCCAAGAGCGACACGGTTCGAGACGAAAGTACTACCAGGGTCTGCCTGAAAATTAAATAATTAGAAAACTTCATTATACGACAATTAATCTTATTTTCAAGTCTCTTAAAGTAACATATTCCATCCATTATTTTCAAAATAATATTGATTTTCTCATTTTATTCATTCAAACGTTCCTCTATAAATATCTTCGTTTTATTTAAATATACACGATTTTTTTTTAGTTGATTTTTAAATGCATCTACAAAAAAAAACTAAGATCTTAGCAAACAGGTACAATTTCTGAATAATTATCTTGTCTTAAAAACATTTGACCCAAGTAATTATGAAAACATGTAAAAAATAAACGAATGCTCTACTCTAGTCAAATTTATGCAGGATATCTCGCATCAGAATCAGATCTGTGTAGTGAAACGATAAAATACTTATAAATTTTATAAAAAAAGCTTACGTTATAAATTAATAGACAAGTCTTAGATATTAGTGACTAAGTATTTTCTAAGTCCTCTATCTTTATGTGTATGTTAATAAATTTTTCTATCATGCACTATATAACACGCTGGGCTACATCCAGCATAATTGCAAAAGTATTTTGTTAAACTTGCTCCTAAAATTCTTTTACAGAAATAAGCATACGAATGCCAGAACTGGTAATTGAGGGAAAACTTTAATTTTAACAAAGTAGAGCATAAATTTTTGGGAAAACAGCTCAATAAGCTTCATACATGTTAAAGGAGATGTATGTGAAAGAGATGGAATCAAATAGAGAAATAAATAGTGATTGT